TCTGGATGAATAATAGTCTATCCTAATGAGAAACAGGCCACAGCCTGGGTATCAGGTTGTATAACCCCAGTCCATCACCTCACTGCAATGTAACAGCTTCAGTTTTAAGTCAATAAAATGGCTTAAAAAGAGTTCAAAAGGTTATCAGCCACTGGCCCTCAGGGCTGATTTAAGGAGCTCCAAGGTCAGCTAATGAAGACAAAGGCAAACAACAGAGCACCAGACCTTAGTGCCCTGGCTCCAGCAGACAGTGCTGCACAGCTGTTAGCTCTGGCCTCGCTGCTCACTTTACAGAAAACAGCTTATGGCCAGGTGGAGAACTTAACATAACACGGATTATGCACTAGGGTTTAGTCAACTCAGTCATAAGCACACTGTTATTATAGAATCTAGCTCCATCTTTAAATGGCCCTCCCCTAACTCTCTTCATTCACATCGTCCTCCTCCTCCACCCATCACTGTCTGCGTCTGTAGCCCCAGGAAAGACACATCCTAGCACAATTACACCCAAGGGTGCAATGGGGAGGGGCCCCCATGCATGTGTGTGGCTGTGCATCCAAGAATGTCACCATCCTCGTTTTCTCTTTGTGTTTGTGTCATAAAGAGTTTTGACTGAGTAGGTAATCAGCACAGAGCAGGTGGCAGAGTCTTCCCTCAGGAAATCTAAACCCGGCAGCGAAGGCCAACGTAGAACATCTGCCATTTGCCTATGTCAGCCAAATAGAAAAAAGGATTACATGAATTTGCCACATAAACAAGAACAAATTATGAGGTCTCACATTTTCATTCTTCCTCTGCAGTTAAAGTTTAACATGTTGTAAGTGAGTCAGCTACCATTCAAAAACACCTACTGAAAGTAGCATTTCACAATCAGTCACTAGATAAATCACTGATAGACACCCGGAGACTCCCAGTCACACGAGTGTGTCTGCATTTGTTTACGCTACTTTGGAAAATCCCATGTATTCATGATTTCCGAGAAATTTCTCATCCAACTGGCTGAAAATTCAACCATTTATGGTGCACTCAGTAGGGCGACGAGCCAACTCAAGGCCTCAGCTAAGAATAAAGTTACAGCCAAGTGAATTTTATTTCTGATATAATTTAAAAGATGTTTGGTGATTATATTTTCTCTCTAAACCAGGTGACTAGCATGCAGGATTACCCCTTAGATTTACAATGCCTGTAGAGAGTCCTGGCTTTACTGTGAGCCTCTCCTGGGTAAAATAACATGCAAAGAATTTCTGCTGATGATGGAAAATATTACAGTACTCCCACCAAACTGATCAGCAGATCTAGTTTTGGATGATGAGCGTAAGTTTATGTGTGCTTGGATGCCACCCCTCCTTTGATATCAGATGGAGATGATCTGTTGGGCAACACACACACACCTGGGGGCACATGAGGCCATACAGTATACTCATATTTACTAATGCATTCCAAAAGACAAACGTTTGCAGGAAGCACACACATCAACAATCACGTGCACATAAATGCATGTCATTATAATGCAACAGTGGAGCCCGAAAGCAAACAAAAATTTGAAGACAGAGAAGACACCCCCAACGTGATGAATGCATTCCAGAGATGTGAAGGAGTAGAGGCGATCTTCCATCAGCTATAGAGCCGCCACCGCACACACACACACACACACACACACACACACACACACACACACACACACACACACACACACACAGGTGGGAGGGAGAGTGGTCACTGGAGTCACCTCAGTGTCTAGGCCTCACTGTTGACTTGGGAGTGTTTTGCCTGCACACACAGTCCACTGGTTGCACTCACGTGTACAAACACTGTCACACTCACACAACTCATTCTCTTACTGTTAACCCTCCTAATTCCTGTTTTACTCTCCACTGACAGAGGGCTGCTGATAATCTAAAGAACCTTCTGTAAAAGGTGAGTTTTTGTTGGTTTTAGCCTACAGCCATGCCTTTCTCTCCCACATGCATACAGGCTTTCACAGACATCCAACTCTAAACCTTAGAGAGAAAACAGACAAACTCATTGAACTTTGTAAGATCTTTGATCAATATAAACAGTTTGTGAGATAAACTGAACTATAACTCTCTGACACACTTCCCTTTTCTGCTTGAAACAAGAACATCAACATCAAACTTGTTATAGGCACAACGTGCGCTCCCTGCCACACAGCATCTCACTATTGCTGCATTTCCACTATCGGAATCTAACAAGCGGTAGCCTCCAGGGTTGACGCGGACTGTCCTGCTTTGTTTTTTTCCAGTGTATCTTCTCTCTGTCGGCCCTGGGCCGAGTGTAGTGGTAACGCAGAACACATGACGAGTGTTACTCTGTGCGACACATTTTGGTTGATTCCTATAATGGAAAACCCCTTTATGTCACAGCTGAGCGGGCTGAGAGAATGAAAATAGTCCTGGAGCAGAGTTGCCAAATGTTATAATCAGGTCCAGTATTTTTAGATCTGGCTTTCCTATCTCAAGGACAAGGAAGCACAGACAGGGAAACAGATAGACACAATAGCTGCCTCTGTTACAATGGAGGCTTTTGGTTGCTCTGTATGGTTTTGCTAAGTATCACAAACAGACTGCTTGTCCTCTTGCCATCATCCAGTGTTGTATTATTAGAAGCAAATATTCAAATGTCTTTACATAAAAAGGCAATAAAATAAAACAAAATCATAGAAGACAAAGTAAATAAGTCAAAATACCAGGTTTTCCACTGATACCTGATATTGCGGCAAGCTCCAACCTTTTTTTGTTTTTTTGTACACAGACAACCCCATGTCTACACACTACAGGCACAGTGATGTGTTTAAACAGAACATACGGTAAAGTTTACTTACAGTATATCTACAGGCAACAGGATCCTTCACCAGATCTCTGGAAAACCACAAAACTAAAACTTCAAAAACACCAGAGTCGTGACTTGCGCTGAAAGAAGCAGGCAGCTGCCCCCAGTCTACACGGCTGCTTTCCAGTGTGCCGGTATGTGTGTGTTGTGCTCCTGAGTGTGAGCGAGCCAAATGAACACTAACCTGAGCTGCTCTCTGCTCCTTAGGCTCTCCTTCTCCTCCCACTGCTGAGGAAGACTCCACCCCCACTGCCTAGATGTAGAGAGAGAGAGAGAGAGTTGGGCAGAAAGTGAGAGTCACATGATCTTCCTGATGCCTTCTGCTATTATAGTACCAGTGAAGTGGTTATGCAGGAAATGGAAACAATGATTCTTTTTTTAAATTCCTGACAATTTAGTTGGAAATGGAAAGTGAGTACGTATTGCCAGTGAGCATGAAGAAGACAATATCTGGTACCAAGGTATGTTGGCGTTTCCATGGTATTTTTTTAAGGAAATTAGTTGTAAATAAATTGGAATTTACACACCTGTTAAATAAAGTGTCACCCAGTCTGACAGTAACAGATCAAGTTCAATCAGTTTCTGCAATGTGTATGTTTCTGTACGTTCACACTGATCGGGCAAAAACTCCCTGCAGCGTTTTAACGCAAGGGGCTGCATTGGTCAGGGGCTGAGGGGTGACAGGAAGAGTGCCTTGAAGGCACGTACAAGACAGCCATGTTGTGATGAGTCTACGTGAATGGCTTCATTCACATTTCCAGCCCGGGAGTTTCCATTGTGTTTTGGTTAGCCATGCATAGCGTTTGTTATGGTATGTTAACAGTGGCCCAAATTCAACAGTGGATAGCAGTGAATGCTTATGACGACAAGGTAAACAAACAAGAGCTCTTTTGGTGTGAATGTGTGTATAAACGCAGCTCTCCCCGTTCAATTCTATGGGGGAATTGTGTTCACTGCAGCCAAGATCAGCACCACAAGGGGTTGCGTCGTTTTGCCAGATCTGGTTCAACTTTCACCGCACCAGACAAAACATCATCCGGTCTGGTTCAACTTTCACCGCACCAGACAGAACATCATCCGGAAAAGGCGATGCATTGACCAATCATGTACTGGGGACGACCAGGACGTTGGCACCCACAGGAAGAAGACTTCTATTTACCGTGTTAGCATAAGCATTCACTACTATTCACTGTAAAATTTGGGCCACAGTTATTACACCATAACAACATGGCATATGTTTTCATTAGTTAGGGTACTGGATGTTAAACCGTTTATATCTATCAGCACCAACACACTGGTGGTAGAAATTGTGGCTAATCTAGAGTAGGCTACGTTAGCAGCATGGCTAACCAAAACACAACCCAAGGTCACGAGCTGGAAATGTGAATAATGCCACTCAGGTCAACTCGTCCTAACATCGTACACATTTACAACACTCCCCCTGCAATCCCTCATCCCTCTGACCAACGCGGCCCCTTGTGATGAAATACAGCAGGAAGCTGCATTTTTGCCAGATCAATGTGAATGTATGGTCAATCTGAATGCAGCCTTTCTCTGATTTTACAACCATTGTTGTCTTTGCTTTGCATAACAACTACCATGTCTTTTTCTGACAATTCTACAGAAAATATAAAATGCATCCCCTCTGTTCACAAGGGAGCATATCCTGGGACCAAGCTGCAGTTGTAGCAGAATAATCACATTTAAAAACTCCTGTCCTTGTACGGTTATGATTCCTGTAGAATGAAGATGGTTGTTATTAACTTTTTCCTGGATGTCACTCCCATGTCAGACAATATCTGCACAAAGCTGAGCCTTTCTTAAAAAAAAAAAAACTCCCCTGGGCTGCAAGACCAGCTCTCATTCACTGTGAATAACAGCTGTCACTTGAATCTGCATGTGTGAACAGCCCATTACTGTGCTGTTTTCTGTCTGAACACCTGCTTAATCACCAGCATACTCCATCAGAGTTGGATGATCAAATTGACAAACCCCTCCCGCTGCATGATTTCAACAGTGGAGCTGGGGGGAAACGGTTTCTGTAACCTTCCAGCCTCTTTTAGACAGAGATTCCATATACTGACATTAAACTGGTCCATCTTTATGGCGGTATTGCCAATTTACACTGAACTTAAAAAGGCTGAGGTCAAACAGTTGCACAAATTTTACTACCTCTTGTGGCAGTATAAAGGAGGGACGACACCAACCACCCACGCCAGTTTGTTATCTTTTATACAGAAAGGTGTGGTGAAGGACTGGCACAATAATCCTGCCATGAATAATCTGTGCAAAAGGGGCTTCTGAAACAAACAATGCCCAATTTACACCATCTTCACACTGCCATTACCCAGGTGTTCATAGATAAGAAAGTATGTAGCACATAAACCTCATGTTCTAGCTCTGTTTTCATTTTTTTTAAGATATTTGTCTGTACAAACCAGCATAACACTGCGAATGTCAGAGAGTGCACTCTGATAAATAACCCCATATTTGAACAATGTTGCATCTCCCACCTCTTGCTGTTACTCAACTGAGTTTAGGTCATTTACCTTCTACTACATCCCTGACAACATCCAAACAAAACACTGATGGTTTACTCTATTTAATTCCAGATACCATTAGCCTTTTCCTTTTCAGCAGATTCTTCTGATAACACACATTGTATTCCAGTAAGTGAGAAAGTCAGGGAAGGGAAGTGGGAGGACAGACAGCTGGTGAATGAAAAGAATATCATTATGAAGGAGGTGTGGTTGAGGATATCCTGTCATTAGGGCCTGGAAAACAGTGGTTCATGGGTAGGGTTAATAAGCTTAACTAATGCAATAAGTCAACAATATTTATGTAAATGTATACACAAAGGTTTGTGTTCAATTAATACAAAAATAAAAATCAGTAAATGCACTTGTTTCCATTGTTATCAGCTGCTTGATTTCCTGCACACCGTGACTGAGCTGTCCTTTCTCCTTACAGTCCAAACACACACAGCGGCGGTGCTTATTTAAAGGAGCCAGCAGGGCGGGGTGCACCAGACCAACCTCCCTGTAATACAAGTGCACTAAAACACATGTATACAAACCGATTCGGGCATCTGCGCCCACAGTCCAAAGGGAAACACACACATGCAATAGTCAGGCATTCTCCAGAGACGGCAGCAGGGAGCGGACCTACACTCCGACCCCTCACTGGAGAGGAAAACCAGGTACTGTCCTAATCCAAAATACACAGTGGGACGCAGCGGGAGAGGACAATAAATATGTGAGCTGGGTCAACAAATTCCAACACCTTCTCTAACTCTGTTGACACTATCAGTCACACTCTCCTGCCTCCCTTCCTTCCTCCCCTCCATCTGAACACTAGTAATCCCACATTTATTACCTCTGCTTTTTATTCCTCTTATACACGTTCATCATCACCTTCTGTTCAACTCTTCCTAGATCGACTCTTCTTCCATCTTTTCTTCAAAATGCCAACCACTTGTCTCACTCCTCTCTTCAGAATTCTTCCTCCCCTCTTGTCATTCGTCCCCTCCTCTCAAAGCTACACAGTCTCTGTGCTGGAGGGGAACATTTTCAACATAATACCCTGTGAACATCGCAGCTGGCCCCCTGGCAGCATTAACACACCTCTATGAGAACGTGCACCTTTGCTCGGAGACACAGAGGAGGCAGCTGGATTAAGTGTGTTAGTGTATGGTGCCTTCTCATTTGGCCAAATACTCGGTGATCCAACCACACAGACATGCTCATTTACTCACACAATGATGAGTCTATCCTGACATTCCGCTGGAGTCTTTTTTAAATACACACCACTAACTCTACACAAAATGTTCAATTCATCAGTCTGAAATATCTTTTTACAGTGTCCACTCAAGGAGGGTGAGAGGAGTAATGTTACTACAGCTCCTTTCTCTTGTACCAAAATCATAAGCGCGCACACACACACACACACACACACTCACACATTCCACAAATACAGGGACTCACTACTAACAACTCATATTACACACTGGCATGCCCCAGCAGGCTGTCTCCGTCATCCTGCATCTCAGTTTGGTGCGGATAAGGGTGGTACAGACCAGAGTATTATGATCCCATGTTAATTTATATCAGTAAGCATCTATGTACATTTAAAATCAGGGAGAACAAAACACGCTCAACACGTTTGTTAGAGCTCAAGAGTACACACTGTATGCTATGGTGAGTACTGTTGCCTGAGAAACTCCACAGAGTGCCTTACTTTGAATTTCAAGGGTCACTTTAGCTTTTTTCAGACATGGGATACATAACATTTCTGGATTCATCAATCTGTTAAAGTGACAGCTTGTTGTCATTCAGACGTAGGTCACTTTTATGTTAATGGGCCTCATTCACCAATATCTTCATAAGTGTTTTCTTAAATTTCTTCATAGGTTGTTCTAAGAAAGGTCCTAGGTAAAGTCTACATCTGATTCATGAACACGTTCCTAAACCACAGAATTGCTCACACCTGTGTTCTTATATTGATGAATCCCATGTGTTCGTAAGTTGAAAGTGCGTGCCAGTCATTCCTAATAAGCACAGATTAACCCCCCGCCGATGCTCATAAAAGGACATGAGACTGCACAACAAAAGTCTAAAGATGGTGAAGCAACAAAGTCCAAACCAAAGAAAACCTTGAGTAGTGATGAAGTGGACAGTGGAAACATTTAGAACTTGTTTCATTGTAAAAAGAGTTCTTCAGGACAACATGTGACTGGTTTCAAAGCCCCTGACCCAGAGATACTCAAGTCATTTTAGTATTGTACTCATCATAAAATTAAGGGAACTTGGCATCAGAAAAAAAAAAAACATATGACAAAGCAGAAAATGTAACCCTAACCTTAACCTGGAATCAGCAAATATGGGGCCTTTTTTTTAAAAAAACAAAAAACAAAAAAACAACAACAAACATAATATCAGGTCATTTTTTTCAAACTTCAGGATGCTTTCTCCAAAGCCACAAGTACAACTTAGAATGAGTTCACAGGTTAAATACTTGGAAAGAGCATCACGTGTGACAGTCTTTAAAAGGTAACTCTTTTCAGCTTTACAACTGGATCATCCTGTTGTGTTCAACTAATTGTGCCTTTGAGGTATTAAGCCTAATAAATGCTGCTCTCATTACAGTTTGCTCATACTGCCAAGTTTCAGTTCTGGTAAAGTAACAAATAGAACATTTACAGAAAACAATACAAGTGATACAACGCCTTGGCCTTTTTGTTTGCAGCTCATTCGG